TGGCTTAGACACTCCAATGAGTTTACTCCTAGATTTGACTGTTTGTAGCGTGGGTGGTATGTGCAGGGTTTGGGGGTTTTTTTAGAATGAGGCAGAAGACTGGATCTGAGAGGAGCATAATCTTGAGTTTTTTTCGGTTTTTTTGAAGGTTACATTTGCAATGTAGGTTTTAAGAATATTACTAAACAGTGAGGGAGGAGGTTATCACTTTGTTGGCTAGCTGCATGTGCTCAGACAGTGGCCCTCATATTCATTGGCCTTAGACATTTGATACAGGCTCTCACTTCCATCTGCTACTTAGGCAAGCAAATAAAAAACCTGAAGATTTCCCTTTGGTAAGAGAGAGAATATGGCAGTGAAATTGAACACAGTAATACATGTTTTCCTCTCATGTCTTTCTGGCTGCTTAAGTTTAACAAATCACATTTCTTCAGTTTTACAGAAGTTGACATGAAATAGTGCCCTTTACATTTTAGGTCTCTAAATGACTTTTGTGCTTGCCAGATATTTTTTCAGAACACCTCTATGGAGCTTGGGGGAATGTGGTGCTAGCACTGATAAGTTTTTCGAAAAAGTTTCCTACTCCTGGGTATTTGTTTAGAAGGGCACAAGAGAAGACAGCTATTGTAGTTTGGGACCAGGTATAACCTTTTTTCCACTGTTCATGTACAATCACATCTAAATTTTTAATTCAGTGCTTTTCAATAGATACTAAGCAGTATATCACACATTGTTTAAGAACAGAATGCTGTAACTGTTTAATGGTAGGAATTCAAAACTAGATTTTTAAGTAAGCCATAGGTGTTTGTGACCTCAACAGAGCTACTTTAAGGTGGGAAGTGGGATTGTAGGAGCTCATGCTCTATCTTGATAAGCAAGGAACCTAAAGGAGATGTGTCATTGTTTATATATAGGAAATCTGTTTCACAAAGACTTACTGACACTGTCTCTGGAAGTCTCTGTCAGACATTGAAAATTAATTCCAAATTTTAAGTCCTAGTTAAAGAGCTCTTTATAGCTGGAACTTGCCTAGGATGTTGGAGGTGAAAAACTGTACCGCCTTTAAAATTGTTAGGAGGTGCTTGCTCAGAGAAGCAAGTGCTCTGTTTTTCATATGTTGATTTTGGGGTTTTTGCTGTCTGGTTAGGGGGATACTGGGAAAAGAATTGGAGGCAATAAAACCTACATGTAGACCATACAGTAAGCTGAATTTGCCATTCCTTTTCTTCCTTTGCAAATATGAAGAACTTCTGGTTTTGCAACAAAACGGTGGGTGAACTACTGATGCTTTTAAAATTATTGCTATGGCTAATTACCTCAGTGCAGTCACTTATGTATGCATCATTGCACTTTTCTCTACCTTCCCACTTCTCTCTGAAAGTGGACACAGCCCTTGCTCTGCAAGTAATGATGATAATTGGTAGTAAGACAGACCTGTTACTCATCCTTTTTTGAGCACATTTCTTATGGCAGGTGTCTAGTTTTTAATTAACTGCTAATGAACATGCCTAGTAGACCATGATACTGCTGCCAGCTTATTCCGTTTTATATCTCACTGCTGCTAAGCTCTTAAAAGGTGACAGAGCAGGCATTAGTGTCTTTGAAGTGACGGGGAAGTGATTATATGCATAACATAATTGTTTCTAGGATCTGCTGTGGCAAATGTCTAGTTACTAAATACATCTGGTGAGCGCTGCTGTTATCCATCTCCCGGGTCTTTAGTTTCTTCTTTTGTGTGCAGCACATATTCCCTTTTCCCCTTCTAGAAGGAGAATACGATATACTTTGAACAGTTCAAGTTTTTTAAATAAGAAGAGCATGAACTTCTGGAAAGGATTATCTTTATGTGTTAGGGACAACTTTAAACCTATTATGAATGGGTAATATACAAACAATGAATCAATATACTTCAGTCTTAAACAGCAGTGAGCCTCAGAAAATAAACACTAAATCACAATATACCTTTGTTGGCTTAAAAGACCATGATCAGGTTTTCAGTTTTAAGTCTGTTTAACGTAGTTGGATATTTAAGCATATTTGGGTACCATTTTCTTCTGCTACCCTCAGTAACCATTTTGCAAAGCTGCTAAGATGTTATGCAGAGTGATGCATTTCCACTTACAGCTCTCATATTCCATTCTATGCCGTACACTGGACATTACTCCATGCGCTGTTTGTATGCAGTCCTGTCAAAGGAGCAGGACATAGCCCTTCTTGTCACATGTTTTCAGCTTCAGAACCTGTTAGAGGGGATTAATCTATTCCTCATTTCTGGGACTTTCAAATTACTTTGTGTAGGCTACGAAGCAGAGCCAGGGAAATTGTAGGTAACGTGTCCCTAACAGTTTGATTTCCAAAGTCATTAAGCTATGCTTCCTGAAATCATGCGGGTTAACATGTTTGCTAATTAAGCCAAGCAAGAGAGGCATGAATAAAGGGAATCTTCACAGGCTTCCTGAAGGGATAGGGCCAAGAATGGAAACAACTTAACTTAATTTCCCTGTCTTGGTCTTCCTAGGCCCACACTGCAAAAGCTAATTTGAGCTCACTGTTGGAGAAGGGAGAAGGTTTTTCTCCATGAAACCAGTTTGGAAGGGATAAATCACTTTTTTTTCTTAGCCAATTACACACCACAACTAGGTAATCCAGTGTGATAGTGCTGCTGGGGACAAGTAAGACCAATGCCATAAATGCAGTACAGTGCTGCTGATGCATATTGTCTCATGGCTAGAGTACAGATGACTGACCTGGCTTAAGTGGTCAATGAGGAAGGGAATGACTTAAGATACCATCTCTGAGAGAGCCTGCCAAAACATCAGGTTATCTCCTGCTTGAGGAAACATGCTGGAAACTACTAAAGTCTGAGAAGAGAGATGTCCTCTTATTCTTTAGAGGCTGGATCAACACCCCCCCCCCCCAAAAAAAAAAAAACAAAACCAAAAACAAACAAAAAAAACCCCCAAAACCCTGCAGTCCTGTCAGGCTTTACAGTGCTCTTTGCTGATACTTCTTCAGTTAAATGAAATGTCACTAGCAATAGCTGCTTGATTTTGTAGAAGGTGGTCTACTGTTTTAACTACTTCAATAAAAATAATTTTTAATACTTCGTTCAAAATGTTTTTGGGTTGTTGTAAACACATTAAAATAGAAGAATAAGAACTATTTCTCTCTTACGTTGCTTTTAAACATACTGAAAAGTTAGCAAGGATAGTGATCAGAGGTACATATTACAGTGAAGACTAGTGAGGCTTTTTAATGTAGCATGTGAAAAGAAATTCCTGATACATTGTGTGAGAAAGATTTGGTAAACTTATGGCTGTACAGAATTGACTAAATGGATTGTGGTAAATTTTAAGATTTGTCTTGTGTATCAAAAATAAGTAAATAACTGCATTACAGTTGGGACAGCAAAAAAGTGAAATATTAGCAGATCCAGTCCAGAGTTCTTCAGTGTTAGTCACTTATATCTACGTAAATTTATAAATAGCTCAAGGCATGTCTTGGGATGGTGTTATGAGAAACAAAAATGTAGGGGCATAGTAGTTACCTAAATAGTAATAAATTAAGTAATTCATATGCCAGTAGATGTTATGCAGGTATTGTTGACAATTTGTCTTGAAGAGTCTTGGGACCTATGGAAGCAGATAACATATTTTTGGATTGTTTTGAATTGAGTTATTTTGGAGTAACTTGTGAAATATTGTGAGCTTTAGTCTAGGTATGATTTCAGTAGCTGTCAGCAGTACTGTAACCATTTTGCCTGCTCTTACAGGACCACTGGCATTCACCAGGTCAAACTCTCATGTCTAGCTGAGCTCATCCTGTTCAGACATTTGCTTATCTGTGTTCTCTTTGATCCCATGAATTGAGCGGTACTCTAGCTTTTTTCGTGGTATCTACTTTCAGCAGAGGGATGGTGGAGTGTGGCCAAGGTGGAGAGGTTTGTTCTGTCTTCTGTTCATATGCACAGGCACAAGGAAGCAGGAAAGAGGCAGAAAATCCGTTTACCTGTAGCAGACTAAAGGGGAGCTATGACTAAGCTAAAGCTGGTTCTGAAGCTTAATTTTCTAAATAAATCTGTGCTGAGTATTTTGAACAAATTAAATGGTTAACTGAACTTGGAAAATGTTAATAAAATCATAACAGCTTTAACTAGAACATACCTTAATATTTAAACGGTGGGGAAGTCATTCCAATATAAGGACTCAGTTTCTAAAATTGCTTACAGGTTATTTTGCCAGATTGGTTACAGGGCTGTATGTCCGCTCATTATGATATTGATCTTGCAAGCTGCTTTTGAAACAGATGGAGGTATTTTAATTCATTAATACCATGTTTCTTGTTGGGAATTCCATGACCTTATTGATGCTCTCTGGAATACATGGATTTTAAGCTCAGAGCTGGTTCCTAAACACAGTGTTAGTTCATGACTATTTTTTTTTCCGCCAAAAAGCTTGGCTAGAATAAAACATAAATTTAACTACACTAAATATGAAAATGAGCGCTGGCTTTTAGGTTTTTTAATATTCAATATAGAAACCTACTTACTCTTTCCAAATTGGGGGAAAAGAAGGGAGTTAGTTTAAATCAGTCTTGCCAGTGAAACTTTTTTTTTTTTTCCCGGAGTGGTGATATTCCTTTCTGTAGAAAGGGAAAGGTATTTGGTCCTTCTGCTGCTGCTGTTTGTCACTGGTGATGCTGTGGCAGGCAGTAGCTGTCCAAAACAACCTACAGTAGTTGAACCTATTCCTTGGGCTGCAGAACAAGTATTCAGCTAGCTTTTTTTGGTTTATGGGACATGAGCAGAGCTGTCCACAGACAGCATGATACAATGCAGTATCTATACTGTGGTGGGACAAAGAGGACAGGCTAGACTTAGACAAACAAATGAAAAAAAATCCACTGTTGATTCTCAATGATTAACCAAACTTCTCCCTTCTCCTTCCCAAACTATGTGCTGTGTGTTGTTCTTCTGGGGATGACAATACTGCTGGGAACAGCAGCAGCAGCTGCAGGCTCAACATCTCTCCCATGGCCATGGACCTCCAGTGCCTCTAACACCGCATCCATCAGGACTTCAGCCTCCAGGAATCCCTCCACTTGGAAGCAGTGCTGGCCTTCTTGCCCTTTCTAGTGCTTTGGGTGGGCAGTCTCACTTGGCAATAAAAGATGACAAGAAGCATCACGATGCAGAACACCACAGAGGTGAGAGGCATGGCAGGCCTGATTAGGACATTGTCAAATTTGCGCATTGCTGCAAATTATGTGCATCTCTAAAGAATTCAAGTTATATAGAATGAGAAAAAAAACTGTTAGGAAACTTAAGAATGTCTGCATATATACCACTGAAGCAAAATTCAGCTTGGAAGTTTTCACTATTTTAAAAGGGGATCTCTAGGTGTCACCTGCTCTGTAGTTTGCAGAGCATTTTGACATCCTGGTAAATACTTAGTTGTAACACCAGTGGCCTGCACCATATTGTGGAAAACTGTTAAACTGCATAATGGGTAATTTTTTCAAAGAAAGTAGTGTTGTTACATGGGTGGGTGGGAAGGTAGGGGGAGTGAGAAGTTAAATTTTGAAGTGAATGTGTTCAAACAAAAGATTTAGATAATTGCATCTGTTACTTTAGTTTCATAGGCTTAAATTCTAGTACGCAATTAAATATTGGGCAAAATTGCACTTGACTAATTTTTGAAAAGAAAATAATTTATTCTGTCATGAAATAAAACTAGGCTTTGTGTATGGTTAAACTGTAAATCATGTTTACAAAATACTGTAATTTTCAGGAGATCACTGTATTAGGAATGTGCAATGACTTATATAAATAAAAGCCATTTTAAAACTGTTCGCGGCTTGTGTTCTAATTTTTCCCCCCTTTTTTATTTCTGTTCTTGCCTCTGTGTCTGAACGGGCATGTCTGTGCATTTCTTGGTTACTGCGGGAGCAGACAGAGAGCCAGGCACAGTAAGTACCAACATTCCTGCTAATGTTTCCACTTCTGGCATTGCACTGTTTGTCTGTTTTGTCTTCTTTTTAGTCAGTTCCATGATACTAGGCATATGTGTTTTTTGTTAAGACATCTCTTAGTTTATTTAGAACACCAACTCATTTATTTGGAGAACTGTATTAATCAGGTTTGTTTCTGAGCAGAATGATTTTGGGGAAACTTGAACTTTAGTTTGCTTATTGGGGGCGGGGGGGAAGCTGCAAATCAAACAGAACATTGACTGAAACTTAACGTATAACATTATTAGCCAGAGTTAAGATTTTTCCTGTAGGATTTTCAGGAATTAAGAGTTGCAGAACAGGTGAGAAATTTAAAATCCATGTGTCATGACATTGTTTAGCCCTAAGAGCTGCTTCAACTGAATCAGTTTAAGCTGTACTAATGTCTTTACTGCTTAAATTGTGCTTCAGGTATAACTTCCATAGCAATATTTTTTTTCCCTTTAGACATAAGCTGTAATAGAACTGGTATAAGACAATCATATCTGAAAACTGGCCGAAGAAGTACTTTGTTACAGCTTTTTATACTGTTGTGTTTTGAGTGGTGTTGCTGTATTAATTTGTTGGAGATGGGCATGTGCAACTTTCATGTCATTTCAAGTAACAAAGCTAATTCTGCTTGTTGATGTCATAGGTAAATTTGGCTCTATTTTGTTTCTTTTTCTCAATTAGAAAAGACAAGAACTAGGAAAAGTTATTTGACTTATCTTTACAGTACTAAACTTCTGATTTTTATTCCTGCTTTTTTTTTATACTAGGGCTTGACATTTATTTGCTGGAAACTGTCTGTGTATCTTTTGTGGCGATTTTTTTTTTTTCTAGATTAATAAGCAAGAAGCATTCATTTCAGTTTGCTTAATGTTATTAATGACAGTGTAACTGTGGAAATAATTTTATGCTGGGTTTTCCTGAAGCCTCAGACTTGCTAAGGACTTCTTTCTTTGAGTGGGACATACTTCTTTGAGAGTTAGTCAAGTGCAGGATTCTCAACACCTTTGCTTAAGAGCTAAGGAAGGAGGTTTGCATTCTGTGTCTGTGTGTGCACACACGTGCGCACGTGGGAGTGATGGGTTTGTGTTTTGCTTTGGTTGTTATATTTCCTGTCCTTGCTTCTTCCCGTCCTCCCCTGCCCTGTCCATCATGTACTTTGCTAAAGGGTTTTTGACTTTAAAAAGAGATGCTTCACAGTGTTGGGAAATTCAAGAGTCTGAATTTATCCTGTAGCTGAGGATAGTTCTCACCTGTGGAAGGAGAACTGTCAAAAATGAAGCCCGGCTTTTGTGTTGTGGGAGATTTGCAATATTGTTTGCTTAGTTTACTATATATGTCAATTTCATTTAATTAAAGTATATAACATTTTCACTGCAGTTACTTCTGTCTCCGTATGTGTAACTCATGATCGCTTGGTTATTATCTGTTGTAGTTTTTTTTTATGCTGGGTTTACCACTAAGTAATCTTGAAACAATCATAAAAGTTTCATAAAACAATGTTGCTGTACAGATATATTGACTTCAGGTTACTACACTATGGTGGCCATAGTTTCTTTTTGGTCACAGTGGAGAATAATAATAATACGGGTGAGCTTAAACTTGAACTTAACATTGTTTAAATACAGTGTTGCATTAGAATCTTGGCTTAACAGTAAATGATATCTTCAGTGAAAGGAACATAATTCAAGTGACAGTCAAGTTAAAATTTGAGGTTAAAATTATTAGCTGGGAATGATTTTCTTTCTGAACTTCTCAAATTCTCTTGTATTTGTGATGGATTTCTTTTTAATTTATTAAAATACATATTTAAGGATAATATAAAATTGGCTACAAGTACACAAGGATACCTGCAGGTCTGTTTAATTATTACACGTCGTTCTAAATGAGCAGTAGGCTCTTACTTTGCAAATTATCAATTTGATTTTCAGAATAACATTTTAAGTGTAATGGTGCTGCCAGAAATCCTGACAAAGGCTAGTGTTCATCATCCAAGACACCAGACCCCATGCTGTCTGTTAGTTATCTAAATTAACCATGATATTTGGTATTACTGTGCAGTTCGACAGTACAATTTCCATCAAATATGTCTAATGTGACCTTCCAGTATCATCAGTAGAAGCTAACGACTTCAAATGTTCAAGTTTGAAAGACTACAGTTTAGTGCTTGCCTATTTGGTTTTAAATTGAGTTTTTTAGAAATAATTTTGGGGTAAAGCATATTGTGGCATATTATTTGAGCATATTCATTTATAAATGAGATCTGGGGTTTGTTTGTTTTTCCTAAGTCTCCTTAGGCAAATAAGCAGTCATGAGCTTTCATGTATTGTACGTTTAGAAATGCTTCGTAATGCAGTGAGATTCATGTGTTTAGAAAGGAATGTAAAGATGTAGTTATTTCATTATTCTTGATTGTGATCAGTGTCCATTTTACTTGCTTTTGCTATATTTAAATGCAAGGGCTACATTTTTCTTTTTTAAATTACTTAAAGTTTCAGGAACTAAAATGAAAATAAGTTCTTTGCATGTAAATGCATGTTTGTAAAATATATAACATTTAAGTTAGCAGTTCATATATGAAGTATACTATTATTACTAAAATTATTTGGTCAAAATTAAATTATAGGACTACATGGATAATGGCAGGTGGGTTTTAGCTGATGTAACTCTTAAGCATCCAAAATTGGGTCATGTTATTGTGGGAATGCAGGCATCCCTGCTATTGTGACACAGCCTGGCTGCAGGTAATGAAGCCAGGCAAAGTAAGCAAGTTTTGCAACTGAAGCTTAATAAAGTTTTGGGAGACATCAATACGAAAGAGCTTTGTTGTCCACATTTTTTTTTTTTCTAGGGAACGTACTGGCAACATTTTTCAAACTCATCTTAGGTGTTCATTTATCACTTGTCTTCCCACTGTTCTAGTATCCTGTTTGGACAGCATAGAAATGCAAATGTTCTGAAGCACTGTATTGTGTCAGTAATAATTTGTAGACAGTGAAATCTGTCATTAGGTGCTTGGGATTTACATTAAGGTTGGTGTTTATCTTTTGTCCTCATGAAAAAAAATGAGCTTGTTTTCTAAGTACTCATAAATTTTCCAAGAAATATTTCTGCCTTCATTGTTAAGCACAAATGTTGCTATTGTTTTGTAAAGCAAATGCTCTTTTCTTACAGCAGAAAAGTACTCTGTGTCCTTAGCTCTCTGTCCTATTCTTCCCCTCTCAGTCTTGGAGGAAGGGAGCATGTACAAATGAATGCTACTTTTTGGTTGATACTGTATGCAAGCTGGTTTTGCTTTGTGTTTTAATTCTTTAAAAGCGCAGGGTGGGGGGGAGGATCATAAAAGGAGTTATATGAAAGTATAGGGTACTCTTCAGTGTAGGACATGTATGCTTCTTGGTGTCTGTGAAGAAAGTATTATTTTCTATTATGTAGCTTGTAATTGAAAAACTTGAATTTGTTTAATCAGTTGTATCTTTTATTTTTATCAGCTCTGTCAACTTAAAAATAAGTCAAATCTTACAGTCTATAGATGCAAACCACAAATTAGCTTCAGCAGGAGTAGCTCACACAGAAGAGCTGTGGGATGCTGCACTGCAGTTTAGTTTGTAGCTGATACATAGCAGCATAAGGCTGCTCACGAAGGGCAAGAGGATTGGAGTGGTCTGGTATAAATTTTTATGGATACCCTGATTCTGACAAACATTAGCTAGAAAATACTGAAATCAACAGAAGGCTTATTCTCTGTTAATGTCACCTGATTATTGAATAGATGTGGAGAGTGATTCAAATCCATTTAGGCTTCTAGATTCCCTTGTTCCTAATAGGAACATACTAGTTTAAATATAACTTAAAATGGTGGGCGAAAAGAGGGCGAAGTCAGTAGTGTTCCGTCACCGGTAATTTAAAACAAAACCTACTGACTTTATAAGTCAACTTTTGGGTTGTCGACATATGTGTTTGCAAGAAGCATGTTCAACAAATGGAAGTTAATGATTCTTGAATTGAATAACCTTGAGTGCTATCTTCTTGAGCCTTGCTGGGTGACAGTTAAGCACTAGTCCCTTTTCCAGTGTCCTGTCACTGAGTCCTGACAATGAGCAGTGGGACTGCTGAGCAGCTGATGTTTTGGCTGTAGATGTTAGACTTGATCCTTTTTTGCCCACTCAACAAGGGATTGCATTTGTTCCTGTCTACATATGGATAGCTGTAGATGGCACTTGTGTGTGGTGCAGTGGCACGGGTCCAGGGTTGTGATTAAATAAATACAGTGGCTCTACTTGGTGATATGGGCAAGTGCAAGTTGTCAGCTGTAATAACTGTCTGTAATGGCAGGTGGGTGCAGTTGGTTTAGATGTACAGTGAATCTGTGAATGGCCAAGCACAGAGCAAGTGTGTGCGTCTTTGGGTGAAAGGGGAGTGGGAAGGATAAGAAGCCCAGCACTAGAGAAGTTCTTAATTGGGACCAGGTGTAGCTGAACCATGAGCACAGATGTGATGTAAATACTGTTATTTAATTGCTGTAATGATCAGCATAAAGTTAATTGTCAGTTCTGTATGTTCTGGTGAGTTGTCTGTGCTGTATTATAACTGGGGCTAAATGACATACTGTGGGCTCTCAGCCTGTACCTCTGGCACACATACATACCTTGTGGTTTGGAAGTAGTTTCTATGGGGAATGGCATGGCAGTCGAAGAAGTGCGTTTGAATAACGTGCATTACATTCCTAATAGGGAACCTGCCTTCTCTCTTCTTTCAGGACTTATTTGAAGAAAAGGGATTCATGTGAATAAATTTTGAATTATTGGAAGAAAAAGAAAACATTTACATAGAATTGATTTTGACCACTTGTTCTGATCAGAGATTCATGATTTATAGATGTTGCATTGGTAATCCCTGAAAAACTGAACTTCTAGTATTAAAGCAAGGATTATCCTCAATTTATGCATCTAGTCTGTTGAAATTAAGACAAAATGAAAACTGGTTGTTGCAGTTCCTCTTTAGGAAATCAACTATGCATGTATGTATCTTTTTGCCCTTTTTGTACAAACTGATTATTATTGATGATCAGTCCCAACTGAAAATTTCTGTAGCATTATTTAAAAAGCTATATAAGTCTTATAGCTAAAATAAAAATGATTGTCCTACTCTTGAAAATAAGTCAGATGTTAGTAGGCCTGGTAGAAGAACTAAACAGACTATTTTTTTTTCAAAGAGAAGATAAGCAGAACTCTATCATTGTGAAGCTGTTGCTCCTGTCTCCTAGCTGGCCCTGTGCTTGATAGTGAACATATGGCAAATACAAACTCTGCTGCAGCTGAAATGAGGAAAGGCAGCTTTTAGTAGGCTGTCCTCACTGTTGCTTGAGCCTTAACATTATGATGGTAAGAAATGCCAATAGCCCAAGGCTTATATGATCATATCTTCCCAGGTTTTGTTTGTATTTTCATTTATTTCCTTGGATACTTTAGTGTTCTGCATCTACCATATGCACTACTTAAAAAGATACGTACTTTCATATTGTTGAATGAAATCTTACACAATTGGTGGTTTGAATTATGGTAGTAGGTTACATTAGCAAGCTATTTTTTCATCAAAAGTTATACTTTACCTGATTTTAGTCACAATTGTTAGAACTTCCTTTTACTCCTAAGGGAAACAAAACAGCAACTTTTTAATTATTGAGTTTACTGGTAAATTTTGCCAGAGTAACAACACAATCTTATTTGCAACTGCCAGTATAGCTATTGTGAAATAATACAGCTCTACAACAGCTTCTAGCATGGATGAATGTGGTAAGTTAGAGAAAGGCGGTGTAAATGTGACCACAGGGGAGATGTTTTGCAGAATAGGCTTGTGAGGACTGTAGGTTATTGTTATAATTACATGTTTATGTGATAAGTAAGCCATCAGTCTTTTGAGGAAAAATCAAATCTAATAATCTTTGTTTGGCATTTAGGACAGAGTGGGAACTAGGTATACCTAGGATTTCCTAGGTAAGTTTCACAGTATTGAAATTCTGCAAGAGAAACTGTACAGAATATTGTCAACATTGTCTAGGTAGACTTTACATTAAACCAGAAAAAAATATCAGCCATTGTATTTACACATACTTGATGCCAAAATTTGCAAGCTGTTCCCTAGACTTCTGTGTAGTAACTTCAAATAGCAGGGTTGCTAAATTTTTCCCAGCTGCTGCTCCTTTGCCACCTTTCAGTTATTCACACTTAATTTTGGCAATTTAAAATGAAAAACTGAGTTTATTCACTTTACTGCATTTGCCTTCATTGTTTTATTCCAAGCTCTTCAGTAGTAAAATAGATTTATTTTTTTTTCTTAATGAGTTTGTTAAGAGAAGTATCTCTTAACTAAAAGATTTTCCTCCTTAAGAAAAAACATTTGGAGTACTCATCTGTGGTCAAGTTTGAATTGACAGCTTGCTGCTTAAGATGTTTCTACAACTACAGGCATGATGAATTCAATATTAAAATACCGCATATCAGTTTTAATGTTTTTCAAACTAGTGAATCCCTGAGTTTGTGTGCATCTGGGAGGAGATAAGGGGTTAAATTCAGACTGTATTTGTCAAGGCAATTAGTTCAGTGATCCAACAAGCCCACCTTTTAGCTGCAAAACATTGCAGTAAAGACATTATTTTAGCTTCTTTATACTGAATTTCATCAGACCCTCCTATATGCTTTATGTAAGCCCCTTGGCATTTGTTTAGCTTGAATAGTCATGAATAAAAGAGCTCAGAACTGACTTTAAAGTGCAGCTTCTGAAGTAGGAAAAAGAGGATTCAGATTGCCTTATGTACCCTGTTTTGTTTTCCTTCTCCTTGGGACCAAACATTAATGTTCAAGCAAAACTACCATGGTGTCCTCAGGTTTTAAAGAGGAAGCCATTCACTGCACAGTTCTCTGGCTGCTAGTATATGTTTATGATACATTAAGAGTAAATATCTCTGGCTTTTTGGTAGATCTAAGTATTTCCTTTGGGGTTTACACTTATATCACAGTGTATATGTCAGTATTAGGCTTTTCTCTTGAGAGAGGTACATGTATGCATGTAAATATGTATTTCCTTATACATTTATGTGAGCATATATTTATGTGAGCATGTACTTGGCTTTTAGGAACTAGGCTTACCAGATCTTTATGAAAGGAGATTTTTTTCTCAACTCATTCAGTATTGTTCACAGCATTAACACATCACTGAACAAATTGCCCTCTTGCATATGCTAATCCTGCACTTAAAAGAACTCATTGTAACACGTTTTAATGCTTTGGCTGGAACGGAGATGGAGATGGGAATCGCAGGCATGTCAAATTGTCATGTGACTGAAAAATGTCTAAAATGCCTTTCTCTTTGGGTCAACAGTTTGTACTTAGCATAACTTAGCATGAATGAAAGCAGTCCATGTAGTTTGAGGAAAAGATTAGTCTTTGCTTTTGTCTTTTTTTTGTGTGTGTTGGCCTCAGTTTTTCAGATCCAGTCTGATTAAACAACACTTTAGCCTCAATTTCACACTAGTAGCAAATGTTATGCTGGAAGTAAAAATATTTGATCATTGTTTGCAATACATTTATTGAAGGCATCCAGTTGGAGTTTACTGCAGTAACAAATGATTACTGCATAACCTTATGTGGTAAATATTTGCTAAGAGTTAAAGTTGCTATATATCTATCCATGCCTGCAGGTATAGACACACAAAAGCCTCATTGTATTTATGGTTGTCTAGAAGTGAGCAATCAATCAGATTATGTTTAGTAAGTCTCTCTTATTCTGTGGGATATGTATATTAAAAAAAAATAATCATTGTTACCTGATCATGAGTAAACAGCAAGCCTGCTTCTCCTAAACAATAAATTCAGTTGAATTAATTATTTAAATAGATGGTGACTGACAAGTGAACTAAACTTTTGATAAGTTCAACAATGAAAAGCCAAGCTTCTTAGAATGCATAAGCTGTACATGTTTGCCTGGAGTACTTAGAGTTGAATTAAATGGAGTGAAAGACTATGTAGGTATCACATTTCTAAAGCATCGATCACATCCAATTTGAGTTTTTAAGCATATATGAAGGAATCTTGAAAAGAATTTTTGATTGATCTTGGTTTTTGTTATTACAGAGTAATTCTCTGTTGGTCCCGGACAGTCTGCGAAGCACAGATAAACGCAGGAATGGCCCTGAATATACCAATGACATCAAAAAGAGAAAGGTGGATGATAAGGATTCCAGCCACTATGTAAGCAAATCTGTGTCAAAGAAATGATTAATTTATTTGCACATACTGTGTTTGTATGAGGACTAAAAGAGCTGTGAAGAACAAGGCAATGTGTTTCCTATGGCTGATATAGTACATGAATATGTGTGCCAGGGAGACCAGTATTGGTGTGGGAAGAGTAGTGAGTCAATGTTTTGGGCTATTGTCAAGTAATACTCCTCAACAGGGGATAATGTGCCAGGAGTAGCTGTTTGGAATTCACAAGTATTCTGGGACATTTCTGAGAGTTTGAGCAACAGATCCTTTCTGGACTGCTCTAAAACCTGCAGGTTTGATTGAAATGGAGGATTTTGTTGATTTGGAGGGTATTAGTACATTCTTCTGATAGATACTAGCTACTACCATGCTGAGTAATAATTACCATTGCAAATTGCATATGTTATGAGGCTGTACGGACTTACTAAAGTTTGCTTTTGACTGATATGGCAGTTTCAGCAGAAAGCAAATTGAAATATAAAAAGTTCACAGTTTGTTTTTTGTGTTTTTTACTAGCTTGCTTGTTGCTTGGTTTTGAAGAGACACTTTAGTGCAAGTGTGGCATATGTGAACCTCAGAAGGTTCACATAGGCTTTCAACTTCCAGTCTAAATGCTCAGCCAAATCACAGGATGATACTGGAACAGGCTTTAGAGACTAGGACTGTTGTGAAAGAGTACTGAAAAGCAGAACTTAAATCTAACAGAAGATATTGTTCTTTGACATAGCAATAATGTGGCAAATTGTCAGGTTTATATGAGTCCAGTCATTAATTACTTCCTGGTTACTGAAACCCAAGAGAAAAATCAGGTGCTACTTTATTTCCTCAGTATTTGGTAGGGTAATTTCTATCCACTTGGACCAATAATATCTCTGAGCAGCTGTTGCCTATCCCTCGAACTACTGATGGTAGATCAGGTTACTTTCCCCTTTCTGCACATTGTGGTGTTGTAGTACTGTTAGGGTTTTGCAAGTTTTATTTCCACCACTTTCTAATAATCTTGTTTTGATTACAGAAGGGTTTGTCAAACGTCCCCATGTTACTCCCTCAACTTTGAGGCTTTGATATTCTAAGGGCATTTTTCTTTTTAAATATTTGATATTAAGTATTCTTAAGCTACATTTGATATAAAAAAAAAGGAAGAAAAAGCTTAACTTGCTTGTTTTTCTTGTGTTTCTACTGGAAAGAAATGGAAAGGATATTGCACTGTAGAAGCAGTTTGTTTTAATCCACATTTTAAATGTATGGTTCTGTTTGCTGTTCACTTGAAATGGATTAAAGGCAGCATCAAAATAAAGAATTGAGGAAAACAAGGGTATTTGACAGTTACAGATTTATTCTAATCTGGAAGAAGATCTTTCTTTTTAAAGGTTCCCCAATTCTGCAAACAGAGCTGCTGATTTTGAGCTCATTTTAGGTGAGACCTTTGTAGAGACAAAGAAGTACTGCTTTTGTCAGAAGGGAGATAAACCAGTTGTAGGAATTGTTGCTTTTGGAAATAAGATGCAAAATGCATTTTTTTTTTCTTTTTGTCTTCTGACTAAATTCTCTGTTAGGACCTGTATAGTTTCAACCTGTTAGTTTGTTAGTGAGGAGAATTTTGCCCTTTTCAGGGGTGGTATTTCTGGTGAACAAGTGTCCCACCTACTGTGCTCCCACATGCTCAAATGTGTTCTAACCTATTCTTGCCTTCTGGGTGCTTCATACTTTTCAAGAGGTGGCAGATAACAGGGGCTGAAGCTTTCCTATTCCTTTTCCTTTTGCACCCTTTGGTTGGACAGATTCCTGAGTGGCAAATAGAGCCACCATTCTGTCTTCAGTGGCACTCTTGGGTCCCTAATATGTTTGTGGTATTTCTTGGAGCAATAGTCAGCTGCTAAAGGAGAAGGGAAGGGTTGAAACTACCTGTTGGGGTTTTGGGGGTTTGGGTTTTTTTAAACATTTATGGCCTGAAGTAGAGGAAGGAACTGGTGTTTTACTTTGTCTGGCTTTAAGTGTGATAGCCCAGACACTTTGAATGGAAGTGATGGGAGACAGTTTGAGTAATCTTGTATGTCTGATTTGTTTGCCTAGAAACTTTTTAAGTAAAAGTACTGTTATTGGAAATGTCAAACTTGGCCTACAAGAAAATTCTAAATAATTCACTTAATTTTTGTTTGGTTTTGGTTTTGAGTCAAGACTCACCTTCTGGTTGAACTACCATGGTGCAGAAATCACTAGACCACTGTGTATCATAGAATGTGTCTACTGGGGCATCCCTGCCCATTTTGGAGATAGGGACCAGGAGGCACTTGAGTAACAGCTATCTTGAGGCACTAGAGCAGCTCAGGTGAACACAGATTTATGTGAAACAGTCAAAATGCAGCTTGAGAAGCCACAATAAAACATTTCCATTTAGGATTGTCAAAGTATTTTGGTTTTGTTAGGCAGAAATCTTGAAATGCCTTGGCATTTCTGAAGCTTTTTCTTCCCCAGAACTTTCCATTTCAAAACTTTCCTTTCTGGAAAAGGAGCAAAATTGTCCTATCACTTTGAGGAAGTTGATACATCAAACAAATGCCAAAAAACTCCGGTTTTCTGAGATCTTATGTTTTTTTAGGTATGCACAAGCAGTAATTTCCATAAGATTAACATGTAAGATTAGCATATAAACAGAATGAGTTTCTCTTTTAGGAGTAGTGATAACACTGTTTATGATGGTAATAAGGAGGGGGTTTGGACCCTCTTGCACTGGTGGTGAGACCAGCACCTTTCAACTAGTTCTACCTTATGTGGGTTTTATTATTGAAGCAGAAATAAGGTGTTGTTTTCCTGTTTTCATTGTTTTCCCTATTGCTAATAAGTTAATGAAAGGCTGTTTGCTTTTTATTTAGGAAAAACAAAAAATGTCTGAGTAGATGCGTAGTCTTTCTCTCTGGGCTCTTAATGTACTAATTGAAATGAACACTATATTTATTTATTTTTAATAGGACAGTGATGGGGACAAGAGTGACGATAACTTGGTTGTAGATGTATCCAATGAGGTAACTTTTTTCATTTTTGTAGTCTTGACATTTGCCCAAAGGTTAAAGGAAAAGTGCATTTAGATGTTAGAAGAAAAAGAATCCTCTGTGTGGATATGTTAAAATATTCACAACTTCTCCTTTTTGTTAGTACTGCAGTTACCATGCCTTCTTCTGAGCTTTATCTGGTCGCCATCTCAGCTTTTCCTTCTGCTGCTTTGTCCAGGTCTGTTGCCTCTGCAGTTATGTTCTGATGCTTCACAGCTGCTCTGCAGTGGAGAGAGTTGTGGTGAGATGCAGGTGGAGGGCTGAGGTTTTCAGACTAGTGTCTTCAAATGAAAAAGGAAGACATTACCTAAGCTTGTATTTAATAGTAGGAGTATTATTAAAAACATTTTTGGTACCTTAAAGATCACTAGTATTTTAACGCGCTATGTAAAAGACAGCATTTTCCAGAATATTTGGTTTTTAGAATGAAGTCAGCTAAAGTCAGAATGAAGTCAGTCTGTTCACAAAATTTTCCAGAGGTTGTAGCCACTTTTTTTCTCCAGGGCAGAGATTTGGCAGTGCCATCAAGGTGAAGGGATGGGCCTTCCCTTTTCTTCATCTTTTATTTCATACAACAAAGAGATTTAGGAAGCCTGAATATGGTAGCATGGTTCTTTTGCTGTGTGAAAAGCACAGGGAGAGAAGCTGACAGAGAAGAGGTGTCTTCAGCAGCTCCAAGTGCCCAAATGATGTCAACCAAGTAGAAAAATGGGTACCCAACCAGGGATTTTAGTAATCTTTTCAGAAGGCCTACTTAAAATGAAACTGCTCAGTAATCATCAGTAGACTTAGTGCCCTCTTGTGAGGACTGCTTCCTTCCTGCTGCTATTTTCATGAGCCAAAGGAGCATGGAGAACCTGCAGAGCTCTGATGGCATTGTAGCTTGCTGAGCTGGCTATTCCAGGTTAAAGGAAATGCAGAGAGTGCCTCTGGAAGAGAGAAAGATAATCATCTGAGAGGTGATTTCAGTTTTTCCTGTAGATTTAAGTAGCGAGACAGTTGCAAATGGTATTTAGAAAGAAGTGACAGATATTATGGCATATACAGCATGCATCTTTATCTCTTCTTCTGAAGGTAGACATGAGCAAGGTTTGTATGGCCTGAAAGAGATTACTGAAACGTTTGTTGTCACTAGCAGTGCGTGGAGAGCGTACATGGAAAAAACAGTGTAAATTCTACTGCAGTTACTGTTGGTCTTTCTTGCTCTTACCACGTGTTGTGCGTGCTTGCCTTAGTTTGTGCTTAGATTGCAAGCTCTATGCTTGGAAACAGTTTATGATTGCATGTAGTGTAAAGTAAAACCAGATTGCTTACTATATGAGATTATGTCTCTAAATTGATGAAGGGATTTCAGCTTTTTTTTCTATAGAGATAACAAAATGTCTTGTTGTTTGAACTTACTGCTTAAATTCTTCTAGTTTTTTTTCCCATAGACTCCTTAGTGGTGTTTTTGTACCAACCCATGACATGGTTATGTGCTGTTCTTCCTTTCCCACTGTTTTAGGATCCTTCTTCCCCAAGGGCAAGTCCCACTCATTCACCACGTGAAAACGGTATAGATAAAACCCGCCTGCTGAAGAAAGATGCCTCTAGCAGTCCAGCATCTACGGCTTCTTCAGGAAGTTCCACTTCCCTCAAATCCAAAGAAATGAGTCTGGTGGGTAGCAGTCTGTTGTCCAGATAAATCATCTTCTTTCTTGTAAAGTCTTAACTCTCCATTCTCCTGCAACTACTTGTGGTAGAAGTACATGGCTTTAAACATTTGAAATGGAAATAGACTACTGTTTTCCAGACCTTCATGGTGTTATTCAGCTTTCTTCCTCAGCAATATTTTCTGTTTCATTTTGATTTCTTGTATTTCCTACATTTCTGTTAAATGAGTTACAAATTTATTGCGAAGTACAAGAGTCACTTAAGCATTGTTTATTTTTCTTGAGCAATAGCTTATGGTTTAACATAGTCTGCATATAGTCACTAAGAAGTTCTCCAGGCTTTTGTTAAAATCTTTTAAATAAGCTGTTACTCTTTCAAAACTTCTCCTGCAGTATCAGTAATAATTTGATCAGATTCTCTGTAGCTTTTGTGTCACAATTTTTTGGCACTATGAACTATTGTGGTATTTTGTTTTTGTACTTAGATTTGCTGTGTCCAATAATATTTGAGACAGTAATGATTTCAAGCTAGAATAATTTGATGATGTGTATTGTATTGTCCTGAAAAAAAATTAGCTCAGGCATTTTTTTTTTCATGCCAATGGAAGAAGGAAGAATAACTCTATGTTTCTTTTCTTATTTTAATTTTGGCAGCAATCAAAAAGGTCAGCATTTCTCTCTCACAAGTTAATGCTGTCAGCATTGCATGGATTTATGAAAATTGGCTGAGGGACTAGGTAGTAGGTGCCCAGCATCCCAGCTGCTGTTGTGATAAATTGTATAATATGGCCTGGATTAAAAATAATACTCATTTAATTTGTTTAATGATACCAGCATGAAAAAGCCAGCACGCCTGTTCTGAAATCCAGCACACCAACTCCTCGAAGTGATGTGCCAACCCCAGGCACTAGCGCAACTCCAGGACTTCGTCCAGGCCTTGGCAAGCCTCCAACAATGGACCCTCTGGTTAACCAAGCTGGTAATGCATTACCTCACGTGTTTTTATGGTTCCAAAATTAATCTTTTTTTATGTGTGTAGTTCTGTATGAATGTTAACTAAATGTATTGCTTTGCTCTTGATATCAAGAGAAGGCTTTATGAGAAGCAGATGTTTGGATTATCAAGAGTTTGAATATCTTTCTATCTCTTATCCTTCTTTGTTTACTTTTGTCTTTATCTTTTTTGCAAATAATCCAGAGACTGAATGCAATATAAAAAGACTTCTCAGAAGATTCTGGTACTTACTCTGAATGCAATCTTTTCTCCAGCTTTTTGTCTAAGTCTACTAATATTTGCTGCAGTGTAAATCTTGACAAATGCAGGGGAAAGTTTACTTCTGCTGTTCAGGCTGGTACAGCACAGTTGCTTCAGACATGAGCTGTGTAAACCATGTCTGTCAGCTTTACTGCTTAATTTGGCAAAGGAGAGATTAATGTAAACAGGGAAATATTACAGAAATGGAAATGGGTAGTGCTAGAATGGATTGTTAGAAGTAATCAGCAAGTTCAGACTTCAGTAGATCTTTCTTACGCTGAGTGAAGAGAGGTGGTGGTACTGATAAATTATGGCAATGTTTCTTGGCAGTGTGTGTATGTGAGAGGGGGAGGTTAGGTACTGTAGGGGAATGAAAGGGCTGTTTTCTCCTCTGTATGCAGGAATAAATAAATAAAACTACTTGATTTCATTATTCTGTAGCTGCAGGTTTGCGGACGCCATTGGCAGTACCAGGACCGTACCCTGCTCCATTTGGAATGGTACCTCACGCTGGCATGAATGGAGAGTTAACCAGTCCAGGGGCAGCCTATGCCAGTCTGCACAATATGTCACCCCAGATGAGTGCTGCTGCTGCTGCAGCTGCTGTGGTTGCCTATGGAAGATCTCCTATGGTAGGCCATACGTTGCATGCAATCTCAGTTGTGTGAGTTGTGGTTCACTGAGAAGAGCTACATGCTTCATTTAGCACTGTTGAATTCCCAAGTTATAACAGCGCCAGAGGCTTGACAGCTTCACTGTGTGTTTCACTTTGCTGCGTGGCTGGAGAAACAAATTTGCACCTTGAAAACAAAGAATCTTGGTGTATTTATGTGCGTTTCCTCTTCTCTTCACCTTCATCAGTGCTTTGACTGATTAATAAATGCCAAAAAATTATTTTATGCATTAAATGAAAAGGTAGTTTTGGTAGCTACAAAGTATTTTCATTGGTGCTGTGGACATCTGCTTTTCTCTTGCTGAACCAGATTTGTGTTCCGTACAGACATAAAAAAAATTCATCTTGAAGCATGTAGAAGTCTTTTTATCTACATCTCTGTCCTTGTATTTTGTTTTTTGTGGAAATCAATATGAGAAGGTGGTTGGTACATATCTTGGAGTTCTGTGATAAGGTGTGTTAAGAATAGTTGCTGTTGTGGGTGTGGTAAGTAAGTAGAGCGTAGCAGTTAGAGCTGCTGTCAAGCAGAATAACTTAGGGGCCTGATTCTGCAAGCATGAGCTTGATGGCAGCTGTATGTATAAACAAGCTTACCTACTTGTAAATCTGCAAGATGGGACTTAAGCTTGCTGTCTTCTCATTATTGTAGATATGGCTACTTTTTTCAAACTGGTAAACAAGGCTTTTATGTGAAAAATGTGCATATGCGCTCCTTAAAGCAATAAGAATTTTAACTTGGGTATAGTGTTCAGAAGAAAAACTAAGTCTATTTGGTCCAGAATTTCTGTTTGGATTATTTCATGTACTTATTTATTCAGGATATAAAAGTTTAGTGGAATTGCAGTATGTAAAGAGAGCATAGTGTATTTAAGCTGTAGACAAATTTGTCTGCACCCTGCAGTGTAGCTCTGTGAGAGATCTCTCAGCTGACGTGCCCACACAGTGTGGTGTGGAGCCATGCAAAGATTCTAGCTGAGGCCTGAAGCTGCTTTCCAGCACCGTGCTGTGCTTGCATGGGTACGTGCTAGCTGTCGCAGAGCTACAGAGCACTGGGGTGGCTACATGCTGACACACCACGGACTCTAATTCCAGGGCTAGCTCTGTGCTAACACAGGGGTATTTGTGTTACGCTCAGTGATGTGAATGCATGATACACATTATTGTTTTTCTGTTCACATATGAATACTTCCAGCAGAAGCATGCGTAAGGAAAACATCTTGTTTTTCCCCTCTGTGAAGGGACATGCACTTATCTAATACTGTGGGCAAAAGCCACATTTTGGTTAAATGCATAATATCTTGGGGGTGAAGAAAAGGGGCTTGCTGCATAAGAAACTGCAAGTGTGAGATTAATTCATTTTTCATTGTCAGGTTGGGTTTGATCCTCCTCCTCACATGAGAGTACCTGGAATCCCTCCAAATCTAGCAGGGATTCCTGGGGGAAAACCGTAAGTAACTTCTAACGTTTTGGTAACGTCGGCATTATCTAGAGAGAATGAAGTTATCTTGTCTCAGTGAACAAGCATTCCAAAGTGGGTCGTGTTTGGTTGTTTCCAAGAGATTGTTTTAGACTTCTCTTGGTAAGAGGTGCAGCATATAAATTATCAAATGGTAGTTGTCATATCCCAAAACAGGTGTGTATATACCTATTTCCAAGGAAAAGCTGTTGAAGGTATACAAGTTTTTTTATTTCCTCCTTTCTGGGGGAAGTTAAGGGGACTACAAACTGGTAGAGAGTACTAAAATGTGTAAGATAAAAACACATTGAAACTAAACTTCCTACTATACTGAGCGTAGATGTGTAGTGCAAACTCACAGACTCCTTGTCTGGCACCTGTTTCATCAGGCATGAGAGTCTGCAACTGTTCATCACAGTGGGTATCTTAAGCAGTTACTTTAGCAAGTGATACACACCTTGCATAATGGCGTAAGCTCTTTAAAATGTTTGTGTAAGTGTGCAGCTGGAGAGCGAAAGGATGATGAAGCAGTTGCACAGCAGGTGGTGCATAGATGAAGGATAACTTTCACAATGGGTTCTTCTTATTTAAAAGTTTTAATTATTGATGAAGAGGTGGTTAAATAAAATACTTCCATGATGCTGTGGCTTATTGATATTACAATAAAAGAAATTCACCAAAACAGCATACATCAAATTTTTCAGTAGTTTGGCTTTGGTAGACTGTTGAGACTGAGCTTATCCATGTGCAGTAGAGTCAAGAGCATGTATGACCTCTTAAAAAATGATTATTTTTTAAGTATTTCTGGACAACTAGTCTATGCAGGTACAAACAGAGCATAGACTGCAAATATGACTAATCTGTTTTCTTGGACAGAGTGGGGCAGAGAGAATTATAACAGGTTTTTCGATACTGTTAGAACCTGTTCTTTATCCCTTCATGCCTGGCATTCAGTCCTGTCTTCTCTTTCAACAGAATGTTGCAGTTAGGGTAATTTCTCTCTGTCTAGGTACTTAAATAATTTAAAAACTCACTTAACATTTTGCTGGGTTATCCTATGCTGGGTGTTCCTGTTACATACTGTCATGTTTACCAATCTATCGTGGTTTAATTTTTCCTTTTGCAACTTCAGGAAGAATTCAGAAACTATTACTTTTAGGATACTAAGTTGTAAGACTGTGTGGTGAAAGTCATACACACCTGTATTTCTGTTAGCCTTCATTTTGAACTCCTGTTAATAGCTAGTGATACATTGTAATGTCAGTCATGCAAACATCTGTGAAAGTACACCAGATTACAGGCAAAAAAGTGTGTTTTCCTCTATTCTTTCTCTGTAACGGTAAGAAAGCAGCAGACTTGGATTAGGAAAGCCATCCTGAATGTGTTTTCGTTGTTATCCACCATGCTTTTGAGAACAGACTTAGTTATCTGTTGGCAGTGTGAGAAACCTGTTAAATCTTGAATTTACTTAAAGAAAAGTTGGCGGTATGTTGATAAGATTCCTGAAGTGAGGGCTGAGTGAGTTGGTGTTATGTATCAGATGGTGGTATATTTAAATTTAGTACAGTAAGGAACAGGCTTTGTTCTCAAAACATTCTTTTATTAAGGGTCAGACTCATTCTTGCTGACTTTAGTAGAATTTGGCATACTTATATAAAATATTTTTGGAGATTGCATAATCCAGTGGCTGTAAGTTTTTACTTTTAAACAAATATATTCATAAGCTTTCAATTACTTATTCCATTAGTAATGTCTGGCAATATTTTATATTATAAGCTATCAAAACCTATTTTTGTTCAGTCAGAAATTTTCTGTGGCTGACTTATAGTTGCACTATTCAAGGCACAAAAGCAGTGCATGTATGCTGCTATACTTTGTATCCTGGTACTTCATAGCTAAATTACAGTCTGTATGTTTGGGGTTTTTTTTAAATCTTTTTATTCAGTGTTTTCAGCACTTTATTCACACTGCTGCGTAGATCGCCTACTTTGATACATATTCCCTACTCTCCACTTGATTTCATGTGTTCTGTAATGTTTTTTGTGGTTGTGTTACTTGGACTGAGTCAGTCATTTCCTCTAAAGTGACTTCTTTGCTTACCTTTATTGTAAGTGAGGCAAACCTAAAATTCCATAAACTGATCTGTTATCTTTTCATTGACAGCTTTAGGATGATCTTTTGTTTTAGTCTTCTTTGGCTACAGCTAGCTAGATGCCATATGCTACCTGCAGCATCTCTGAGTATGTCTTACCTACACTAGGCAAGTCTCCTGTATTTTCTGTACAAAGTACATGGGTTACATAACCACGCAACCTAGTGGAGTACTCCTGGTTTATTTTCAAAATCTGCCTTTTGCTAGAGTGCAGTTAAGGTGCCACATTGAATTTGTTTTATGAGATGTGGAGTTTTAGTCTGAGTCTTGTTGCGGGCAGTACAGAGAATTTTCAAGTTGAACTCTTGAATCCCCAGCCATATGTGTATGCTCACGGCTGCACATTTTTATCAATGGCTATTGCTGGGACTGTTTTTTTCACACAGCCCTACTTCCAAGAGAAAATTAAGTTTCTTTCTTTCCAAAAGAATGACACTTCTGACAGCACCCAGTTTTCTTTAACCCCTGTGTATTCTGAGATCTGTTAATGACTACCTTGTTAGAAAAATTAGTAGCCTCTTAAACTCATTTGTACTTGTCTGTTTTTATCAAGAGACTGTTGTCTGGAAAGCTTGTCTTTTGCTTGTGTTATTTTGTAACTTGATTAAACGTAAGTCTTTACTACCATCTTTTTGTGTTCCTGAATGTGAATCTTTCAGTTTTGCTCTTTGCAGAGTCTAACCTTGTTAGCAATGGTACAGAAGTACTTGGGAAATTGGATAGCAATCTGGAAAGTCCAAGTGTCTTCAGCAATTTCTTAATTATACAAATGAGCTAGTCTTTGTGTTTAGTAGCACGTTGTGTGTGTTGTTTGTTTGTTTTAAAAAATTATTACCTATGAGGATTTTCAGGTTTTTCATAATTCTTTGATATTTTGGTGTACACACATGTGATCTCATATTAGTTGTTTTCTTTCTTGAGCTGTTTGTAGTTCAGTAATTAATTTTATGGACAAGGACTTGATACCTGCATGTGTGTATGAATGTGCATAAAATAAGTTTTCATATTCTTGGTTTCAAAGTTGATTCCCATCAGTAGATTATTCTTTTCTTAGCTGCTTTTCTGGTTTTGGTTTGTGGGTTGTTTGGGTGGGGGTTTTGGGGGGGGGG